ATCCCAACGTGGATGGGTCAGACTTTTACTTATTAAAAGTTACCATATTCTAATTTTAGCGTAATGTAGGCTAAATACCTGGATGTTAATAGCAAGACTCGTTTTTTCGCTAGTTTTCAAAAATATTTTTATACTAATAATAAATTTGATTTTTCAATACAATAAAATATAAAACAAATAACACCATCATTCAATGATTTAACGATATACTAATTATTTTGTATTTTTAAAAGCTAAGTTTTAAATATACATACTATTTAAAATAAAAAAATGACGTCACAAAACACTTTCCCCTACTAAATTATCCTATTAAAAAACGGTCTATTTTTTACAATTCAAAAAAGTATTGGTTTTGAGTAATCGTTAATTACCTAATAATAATCAAAAAAAAATGTTCACAAAACTTCGCATCTCAATAACGATAAATCTTAACAAAATCAATCACCGAAAATCCTGACCGCAAAAATCGTTTAGCAAAAAGATCTAAGTAAAGTATGAAGCAGAAACAAATGAAACAGATCATTTGTCCATGTACCATCAATCTTATTGGTCAACAGCCCTTTGCACGTAGTATTTATTCAGGACTAGTTGCCACCACGACCCGCTCTTATCAAAGCAAATGATTGAATTCCGTGATTAGATCCTTTGTTAGAGGATTCCAGAATGCTCCATTCCCCTAATTTGAAACTTTAAATATCATGACAAAGACTAAGTGTTTGGGTTCGCACCCTAATTTATATTCAACTGTCCTTATTTAATTTGTTTGGGGTCCCTAAATTAGAAAGAGAAAGGTATAATTTTATTATGACACGCACAAAGTGAAAGGGTCAGTGGAAAGGTTTTCTCTTAGCCTTTTTCTTTATTGTCATAATGAAGGCGCTGAGTCTTAATCAGGTTAAGGTAAATATTGTTATTTTTCATAAGGCCAAAGAGTCTTTCTTACTTAAAACTAACTGCTTAAAACACGTTATTTTAGGTATCAATTATAACTACATTATCCAATCCAATTATCATTTCTGGCATGCTGATCACACGAATTTCATGTTCTGTATTCAAATTTTCTGTTATAGTTCTATATTTCACTGTAAACTGAAAAAACTTTGGGTTTAAAACTAAATAGGAATCTGTTAATAAACTCATAGTTCGAACCAAAAAATCGGTGCGTTCCAATTGGGTACTGTTTTCTATTTTTTAACTGCCCCAATGAATTTTCAAAATACCTAGGTACTTCAATTTTGAATCTTATTCATAAAACTACAAAATGCAACTATCCTATTCTATGCATTTCTCAAGTAACGTCGTGACCTAAGGAAATAGTGATTTATTATGTTTAAAATTAAATGATAAAAGAAGTTCGTATTACGCCCCAGAGATTATTCCGACCTAGTTAATGGGATTGACTATGTCATACTGTATTATGATTGAAGTAGCGAACTAGGAAATTGGAGAAGATGTAGCATCCCACATCGTAGTTTAATAAGTTTCAGGTTTTCACGTTTATTAAAGATGCTGTTGGTCCCTTTCGTTTATAACATTGTGGGAATAGCAAAGATGGTAAAAAGTTAATGACCACTATGACAATATTTAAGTTATCTACAATCACAGGCACAATTACCTAAGTGCCCACTTTGTATTTTTTTTTTATTTATAGAAATTTTCAAAAGATCACATTTTATGAGTCGTACGTAGCTACAAAAAATGGTATTGAAAACAATATCTTAAAGTAAAATAAATATGTAAAATCTGAAAGTATTATTCATTTTTTCTTTTTTTTTTTTTGTAAATACTTGTGACGATCCGGTACAACAATTTGTGGATCATACAACGCGCCAACCGTGCATTTAAATAAAACATAAAATATAAATTTAGTTTGTTTTTTTTTTAGTTGGACGTTACATTAATTATGACAAATTTAAATCAACTAGAAAACATTTTATGAATTTTCCTTAATATTCCAATTTAATTTTGCTCAACAAAGTTTTAATGTAATGTTTTGTACTGTAATGCAAAGGATATTACAGCTTATTGAAAATCCACTCAAAACACGATACGCTACTGTGAATATTAAATGAAAACGAGGAAGAAAACGTACCTAAGTCATAAATTACTTTTCTTCAAAACAGGTTACTGGGTTTAACATTAGACATCAAATAATTTTATTTCAATGAAAATAATGCGAGCTTTGGAATTAATACTGCGTTTTCTTTTTTCATGTGATATGGTGGTAGGTAAACCTTGCGTAACGGATAGTTCATACAAATACAAAGGACATTTTGTTGAAAAAATCGCCTTAAAAATAATAACAATACTTTCCGACCGCGCGTTTTATTAATTAGGTATAGTTTTTGCGGCTTTATCATCGACCTCATCTTCATCCATCTTTAATTTTAGCTCAATCAGTCGAAAATCTAAGAAGATTTATAACAAACTTTCATCCCTTATTTTATCCCCTTAGAGGTGGAATTTATCAAAATCCTTTCTTAGGGGATGAAGACATCCCGTATAACATAGGTACGCATAACGTAGGCGTTATAGTAGCTTTATGCATGAAAGGTATCAGCCCGATCGGTTTAAAACTGACAAAGTTTCATACGAAATTTCATCACCTTTTTTATCTGGTAAAATTAATCAAAATCCTTTCTTATCGGATGCCTACGTCATAACATTCACCTGCATGCCAAATTTCAGTCCGATCCGTATCCGACACGATATCAGTCACCTTTGAGTTTTATATAGGTATTTATATATATTTAGATAGATAGATAGATAGATAGATAGATAGATAGATAGATGTTCCATTATGAGTATAAAAGATGCGGACTATTAAAATGTTCCAACTTTAAGTTGCCTACTTCTGAACTCTAAACCGCGGTTTAATTGCTGCAAAACTTCACATTTTACCCCCTTACCCTCACTTCAACAGCACTCGGCCTTTAAAATCACTTTTAAAACTATAAAAGTGAAATTAGTCTTTTATAACTCCGCTAACAATTTGAAGACAAGACCAAAATAAATCATAGAATAGCCTGCTGTGCTCTTAATAAGTAGCCGTTTAAATAATATTTGTTATATAATGTCTCAAGGGCGGGATAGGCAATACGACATGCTACCGTAATTAAAAATGATTAAGGTTGTTTTTGAAATAATTCAGTGTGTAATTACTAATGAAAATAATAATGGATGCAAATGATGAAGGTATATTAAACCGTTTCCAGATATTATGTCCATACGCTAAGAATCATCTTGACAACATAAAAAAAATGCTAGTTAACTGGAATAAGATGGATTTTTTTAAATCCTTTGAGATGTTCTGCGCTTATACAATTTTATTAGTCTTTAATTTTCAGTCATAACAAATTTGGTTTGACTGCACAGTTGACGCAGTGCTGCTGCAAAGTGTCAGTGAGTTCAGTTCCTGTACAATATTTGTATTTTTATCTACGAACTATTTTTCCGAGACTATGTGTGATGTTGAATGTGCTATCATATTATGTTTGCAATCACACCCACGACACCGCAGAAAAGCCATGTTTAATACAACATAAAAGCGTCTTAAAATCGTATCCCGCCCGGTCGCGGCACGATGTCCCATGAATGTGATCCCAGTGAATACGTATAGAAAAAAAAGATTTTCATACTGCCGTAGTCACAGATATTTAATGAAAATGACCTTTACCTGAATAGAAATAGATATTTAAATTCTACATCAGAAACATCTAAATATTTCACTTACCTTCCAAATAACAAGTTTTGTTTTCCAATCTTCCTGTTTTGCACTCGAACCATGTTTATAGCATTCGCTCAAATACATATTTACTTTACTGTGTCCTCGTGTTCCAGCATTTCACAGTTCGTCGGTAAATACAGATCCTATTACTGACAGTTTCTTCACTAGGTACTACGCTTTCCCGTTTAACAAAAGTGATTCGTTTGGATTTCTCTCTTATATTTGCTCATAATATATACGAAGTGAGAACGCTCGTGTTATATGTATGAACAAACTTAGAAATTGTCGTTTTCCACACGAATCTGCATTTTTAAAACGAGCTTTCAGCAGGATATGAATTGAGTTTGGTACAGTGTACTTTGACATTACCAAAAGTCCTTTTTACAAAATTTTTAATCTTACCTAGAACCTAGAACGTTCTTGAAAATATTTTTTTTAGGATTTTATAAGATTTTTCGTATTCCATTTGCACCTCCTGTCGCTATTTTCTCGTGCGTTGCGAATGCATTTACAAACATACAATAAACCCAGACCCGAAAACAGCCCGAGATACGTTGCGCAAGAGCCAGTCCAAGCTGGACAGCAGCAAAAGGACATCAGATCGTTATACATTTTAAAAGCTTCATATTAATATTATCACATAATAAAATCATAAAACATTTACATAAAATAATCAGTAACATTTATTTAGATATAAACATAATTATAACCCAATAAAAGTACATTTTAAAAACAAACAGCTTACAGTGAAAGCATTGTAGGACAAATGATTGAATGATTGACAACAATTTAATTAAATATTCAAACAAAATAGGTCAATGAAATATATCTATACACTTGAAATGACCAGAGTCATCGACCTCATGCTGGAATTGAATAAAATATAGTCGCTAGAGTAGAGTCGAAGATCCCAATCAATAAATTAAAAAAGTAGATAAATTTTGAAAGTAGGTTCTTACTGTTAACTTTATGAAATATATGACAAAACATTTTATATATTTATAACGCTAGCCTGACATACGTTGCTATGTTAATATGTACTAAGCTGACAACATCGTTTGAATCTATATTAAACTATTAATCGAAATCAAAAATAATATGTTATTATCATGATTAATCAAACAATTTCAATAAAAAAAATCAAAGCTTTTACATTAAAATAAGTACCTGATCATATATATTATCCATCTAAATAAGAATTAAAATATTGTGATAACTAGAATGAAAAATTAATAATTAAAATTAAAAAGACCTCCTACTGAGGATTTTCTAATCAAGTAGACGGTTCGTCTTCTACTACTCTTTCTTCTCTCTCAGCCGCTGCTTCTGCTTCTTCTTGTTCTTTCATAATCATATTTTTATCAGAAGGAGCTCTGTGTCGCGAATGATGCCCATCTCCAATTCTAGCGTAGTGCTTTTTTACATAATTCTGTTGAGCATTCAAAGCAGCTCTTCTTTCTTTACCTTCGGCAAGTGTAGATTCCCATCGAAAATCTACTTTATATGGGTTGTTCTTAATCATGACTATTGCATTCTTTTTGATGTATTGATAATCAGCCAAATATTCTTTTTTAAGTGCCTCTTTGTTATCGGAGAGCAAACTTTTTTTAACTTTACATGGTTTCTGTATTGCTTCGGGAAAAAGAATCGCAACAGTGTCATTGAAAATTGTTTTTTGATTTTTCATTATTTCTAACATCCGTCTTTCTTTTTCTAAGCGCTGTGCTTCTAATTCTCTTAACGGTTTTTCGTGTTCTATTAATAGTGATCTGTTTATTCTTTTTTTAACTGCAATTGTTCTTTCTATTAACTTTTGTATAATTTTCTGCCATCTTTCTTCTGGGCCTAAAACTTTTGACCTCTCCATTCTCCTAGCCTCAGCTTCTTCATCATGTCTTTTTTCTTGCTCTTCCTTCATCCGACGTTTTTCTTCTTCCTTTTCAGCTAACAGCGCACCTTCCTTTCTTTTAATTTCCATTAAAACATGAGGATTATTCTGTATAAAATTTGCTTGCCACTCCATAAAAGACTTCATAACTTTAAGTTCTCTCTCTATCATAGTCTCCATACGCTTTACATATTTAGGATGGGAAAGCATGAAGACTGGAGGATTCAGAAACATTCTGAAAGACCCATGTACATCACTCACACCTATAATATTTTTAGTTAAAGGCAAAGTGTGTAAACTAACCTTTGTAAGCATCGTCCCAGATAGTGTCTGTACAGAAATGGGTTTATCACTTGTTATTAGCAAATCCCAGATTTCAAGGTCTCCTTCTGAATCACTAATAAAAATTATACTTGGTTTATACTGGGACCACACTCCGTCTGTTAAACGATATGGACGTTTTTTCCAAATCATTGGTCGACCTTTCAGATCATCAGACCAGATTGCAAATATTTTCCCTCCAACAGTAAGAGTTATAGAATCTATTATAGGATTTTTACTAGTAACTACTACAGCACCGTCATGCAAGTTACAGCGAAATTTTATGTCACCGTATTCAGAGTTAACTATTTCACCAGTGTTGAATTCATGGCCTTCCCAGGATGCTCGTGTTAGCTCGCCATTTTTTGTACCGAAATAAAAAACAGAATTCATAGAATCCTGGGTTTCTTTGTCTACTTGACAAATAAAATACTTTCTTCCCGTACCATTACTTTTTGGAGTGTAAATATATTGTATTTTAGGAGCAGATATTCCAAAGCTCTGTATTGAGTAAACCCAGGACTGGCCTGGTGTACCTAAAATAATTTTATAGCATGGTTGTAGAATACGATCCAAAATTTGAAATGGTGAAACGTCTACGAGTAAACCTGAAGGTCGACGAGCAATTCTTTTTGATTTCTTAACTTTTTTTCCTTCTACAAATGCCATGTCGCCAACTGAGATATTCCAAACTAGAATATTTCCGTCTGCTGATGTAGTAATAAACTGAAGTGATGATTTGTTTTCTGCTGCGCGAACAGTTTTTCCAGTCGGTGTTATTGAAAAAGTTGGCGGTACCCATTTTATAGCAGAAACTGGTCCTTTATGACAATTTAATAAGCTACTACAAGCTGTAGCATTCACTACAGCTCTATCTTGAATAGATTTCATCCACCCCATATGCGCATTCATAGCTATTCGATACTTTTCCCTGGTTTCGCTTAAAACCTCAATCTTTTCAACATTTTCCAGTTTTTTTGTTAGATCCCATATAATAATTTGCCCATTTATCAAACCACCAATTAAAATATTTTCATCGAACGGACAAAATGATAAAGTTGTGACCTCACGTGGTGACTCTAAATATAGTTTTGATCTTAAACTGTCTATGTGACTCCATATTAATACAGGATTTAAACCGTAAACTGCTCTTTGAATTGGATCACTGTGTGTAGATGCATGCGTTCGCATGACTGTTGGGCAAACATCTGAGTACGAAATGGCAATAATACCGGACCACATTGGATGAAATTCTGCACACGAAACATATTTAAATTTAGCTCTGACATCAGTAAAACAAACATACTCTTCAAAAGCCATAGTACCAAGCGTATCAATGTGTTTCTGAGTAACAAGATTAGGATAGTCATTGTAATACATATCCATTACAGCATTCAGCTCTATTATGGACTCCATTTCAGTAACTTGTGATGACACAAAATTGTTGATCATTTTTTGATAAGATGGTCGTCGCATACGGGCAGCTGCAGCCCGATATGAAATTAATCCTACTTCATCGGGAGGTTCTCTTTTAGGGTGTTTTTCTTCGTCTGAACTGTCATCTTCCCCTCTTTCCTGAACTACATCGCCACCACCTTCAATATCTTCTATATCACCCATTGCATCTGCGATAGACTGAGTCCACTTATTTTGTGGAAATTTTAAATAAGTCTGAGCAACTTGGTCGACTGATAATGGTGTAATTTGAGATGCACAATCTATTCTTCGGCGAGCAACATTATTAAACCTCTGTCTGTACGCAGTCAACTCAATGAAGCCATCTCTTACGGCGTCAGTGTCCCTTACGTCGAACTTCTTAGGTTGATACTCAGTGGGAAACTTAGCTTTTATCTCCACTTCCATTAAATTTCTCGTATTGATTGGTTCTTGTTCTATTATTTCGGATTCACTGCCTAAACTCGTCCAAGGTCTTGGTTTCTTTTGTATTGCTTTTTGTAATTTTTTTTCTTGCCGTCGAATAAATTTATCTGATTGTTGCTTACAATGATCTCTGGCTTCTATGGTGCAGCATATGTAAAATTCATCGGTATCCTTTGATTCATCCACTATATACCCCATTAAAATTTCGTCTTCGGGATATTCCTCAATTTCTTTACGAAGAGGGAAAAACTCGGATAATTCACCTCCTAATTCAATCGATTCTTGTAGTTTAGATTTTTCGACAGTTTTCCAAGGGTATTGTGCATTAACTTGGACTCCAACAACCAAGTCTATTTGAAGTTGGGTTTCTTCACTTAAAGTTAACACGCATACGCCTTCAACTTGATATTTAGGAATGAATCTCTTCCGCCGTGGTTTTGGCTGTGCCACAGTCGTCGAAGTTGACATTTTTGTTTCTTCAGTCTGAACTGTGAAAAATATATTTTATATTATAGCTTTGAGACAGAAATTGGTAAATTGATAATTTTTTGACTCAAGTCACTATGACATTGATTACTGGGATTATTGTTATTTGTTTTTAATGTACATCTGAAGTCAAACACAAACAGGTGAAATGTGTAAAGGTTTTATTAAACACTCATTTATTGTGCCCGACTGATTCTATGTTTGTATCATTTATTTATTCAGTTTCCTACATTACTTGGTCTTTATTAATAAAGTCCAGTTTATTGTAATATCCTTTGTTTGAAAATTGTCTGCAATGTCAACCCTGCTACCCTCATCATAGTGAAAGCGTCAGGTCAGTACTCTCATGGGAGTTTCTACCATCTGTCTCCTAGCAATAAGTAAATACTTTTGAGTTATTTACATAGTTATCTGTTTTCGAGATATGCTGTTTATTTATAATATTAAATCATTAATTATCTATTTTATACCAGCATAATCTACTATTTTTCTTTTGGCTTTGTTCTTGACTATATTCTGCAATAAATAAATATTTTTATTATACAAATACCTTCTTAAATTATAACTGTTCATTACTAGGATGTTCTCCTTAAAAGTTTATTAAGCCAATGCCAATATTAATTTTAAATATTGAAACTAAATAAATTGTGTGTTTCTTTTTTAATAATATGCTTAACCCTTTTAGACCTTACCAGCTTGTACTAAAGTTTCTGCTTGCTCTTCTTCTTTGGTTGGTATCTTCCCCTCTGATTTGTTATCATCATCATCATCATCTTCTTCTTCATAGCTCCCCTCTGAAGAAGAACTTCGTTTCTGTGGTGTTGGTTCTTCATCACTGGAGTATTCTGAATCTTCAAGCATTTTGTCATCCATAGACTGTAAATCAAAAATAATTTTAACTTTATCATTGGAAGCTTGTCGCATTTCACTATTGTGGAGATTAGCTTCTTTGACATGAGAGGGGTTTCCATTGTCTGGAGACAATGAAATCAATTCTGGAGTTTTGGAGGATCTTAAGACACAACTCAACTCAACCCGTGCTAGTGCAATAATATCTCGCGGCTCTGGCCCCGAGTACAATTCAGAATGGTGTTTTTAGTCAGTAAGAGGCTGTCGCTGCCTCTCTCTTACCCTGGACGATTTAATCATTTGATGATATTACCCTCACACTACACTCGGCTAATCATAAATGACGAGAATAATAAAACATAACAAGTTTCTTTTATTTATATTTTAACACATAAATGTTTTCTAAAATTAAAAAAAAAACACAAATTGGAGTTCTATCTGAGAACTTAAAATTCTGTTTTTTACAGAAATACGCTTACGCGAACACTAAGCTTGAGCAATATTAGTTGAAGAATATTTTTAATGAACATTAGCGCCTTGAATATTATTAATAGCAAGCTTTACTGTTAAGTTACATTGCTCTTATAATACCATGACGTTTGACATGATTCTTACTAGGATCATTGTATTATCTTAGGAAAAGCCGTACTTGCCAGATGAATAGAATTTAAGTATCAAACAAATTTTTAACTTTATGAGAGGAAAAAAAGAAAAATTGCTCTTCATATTTTGTAAATTAAGCAAACAAATGTAGAAAAAATTATATTTACACACAACGAAAAATGACTCCTGCTAAGTCCACAAAGAACAAAAAATATCACTGCCCAACTTTTACATGCTAATTACTTACATAACAAAACTACACAATGGCATTTAAATAACAATTTTAATTATTATTATCACAAATTTGATTTACCTTGCTTAGTAAAACAAATTCAATACAAACACAGACAGAGACTCAGAAACTATAAACTGCTCGGGATTTTAACAATATTATGCTGTTTGTAAACAAGACGGTAGGTATGGCAAAGCGCATGCGCGAACAATTGGCCTGGCACTACGTGGTACCAGGTTGTGGAAGTAACCCCTCATAATTTGATGATTAATTCTCAACTAACTGGGTGATGGCTTAGTGAACCGGTGTAACATTTTCTAAAGTAAAGGAAAACATTGGCAGAAAATCTGGTCTTACAATTTCTCAGTTTGGTATTGCCAGCAATCTGGTTTTGGTGTATAAACGATCTTAGAAATATTTCAGTTGAACAACACATAATGGCTAACACCATCTAGTAAAGTAAATGAAAAATTTGTATTAAACCCGCAACGTATAATTATTCTGGGGCTACGGCACACGCGATATAAGTTACCACGTTCTCGGCCCAGAGCAGGAGAAAGAACTGGTTGGTTTTTAGTTAGTAAAGATCTGACACTCACTTTCACCACACCTTGAGCGAGAGAAGCCATTCGATGATAAATAAATAAATACTTTCAGTACAGTTGAAAAAAAGAAAATACTGAATAATTTTCTTTATTTTCGTTTCTGTTAAAAACTAGTAGACACGTTGCCAGTCAACTCTACAATTTATATACAATAGACTAAGTCCTACAAATCGTTGGCACAAAGCCAATCTGCATGTATCCTAGAATTTACACCCATCTATCAATCTAATACGTTAGGTATACAGAGAATTGAGTTGACAAACGCATGCAGTTTTTTTATATGGGAAAGGTCGGCAAACGAGCAAACGGATTACCTGACCAACCGGTGCCGCTCATGGATACCCGCAACACCAAAGGAGTTACAAGTGCGTTGCCGGCCTTTTGGGGATAAGGGTTTCGGATATTTAAGGATTAAGAAGGGGTGGAGAGAAGTATTGGGCCTTCGGTAACCTCACTCATACGGCGAAACACAATGCTGTAGTTATAATACGTCATTTATTTTTCATTTTGAATTACTCTTATGTTCCATCACATAATATAAAAGGTATAAAAAATACGATTTTATATATAAAAATTAGAGTCATGAATCAAAAACAAATGTAGGTTTCCAGAGACAGGAGCTTTTGTGGACTTAAATATCTTCTTTATCCGAATGCACATACATTCCAACTTTAAATAAAATTATTGGTTGTGTTGTAAATAACAATAGGTATTTTGTTGTAAATAACAATAGGTATTAATTACTAAATTGAGTGCAGTTCTAGATTCCATGCTTTTCTAAGAATCACGTCATTTATTTGGTTGAACTCGACCTTTGATCAGCTGTCACCTTTAGCAGTCAGTCCACTAGCAAAGCTAATGTTTACTTAATAGTCACTTAGTAATGTTACAACGTCACATTCGTCAGTTAAAGGTCGCCTTTCAGATTAATTTCATGACTTTGAATAATTAATATTAGATTTTTATCTTCTGTGCCTTGTTCCCTCCTCGGCGACGGCGAATATCTTACCGTGGTATAGTGATGCTTTCAAAGAAGGAGGTGGACCGCGTGAGGGAACTATCCTCCTCACGCCCAAGCTGTCGCAATAGGCGACACTCCGGGCGCCGTGGATCGAGCGACGATCTCTGGCTACCGTAAGCGCGGGTCTGTGGATGGCGAGCTTGGGTAGTTCGCCGCCTGACCAGAACCAGACCCGAGCGCATGGTTCTTAAGTTCTTTGGAAGTTAAAATGCAATAAACTCACTTCATCATCATGCAACTAGTTGGTCCGTTTTTATAGATATTCACAAACTATGAATATGAAGCTTTAGTTTAATTTAGACATCTTTAATTAAGACACCTACTTATAACATAAAATAGTATCTAAAATATTAAAGTAAACATCAAAAACATTTTAACCACAAAACTGAATTATCCATAAATCTTCTTAAATCTAATTCTTATACTCGACTCTTAGAAGTCTATAAATAACCTCAAAAAATGTCAATAGTATACCCAACTTAATCCCTCTGAACGCGTTTAAAACCGCTCTCAGACCCATAATTCTGGTTGTTGAAAAAAGGCTTAAAGCTGATAAATTGTTTCAGACTGCCCTGTCGCGACGGAAGGAGTCGGCGGCTCCATTGACGGGGGAAAGAGAAAGTACAATATTCCGACATGGCTTCGGATATCCTCTCGCTCTGGTGTTAAGACTGCGAGTTTTACAGGTAAGATTTATATTCCTTTTTTAAATTGCTCCTAATAGGATTTTCTCTGTGTTGTGAGTGCGTTTACAAACATACGAAATTCAGATACACAATACACCCAGACCTGAAACTCACACGGTTTACTGTTCCACGCGGGAATCTAGCCCGCGACACGTTGTGCAGCAATCATATAATATTATGATTGCTGCAATGGCAATTTATATGGCAAATATATAATAATAGTCTAAGACGTTACCTTATAGATAATCAGGTAACGTCATTGCCCTTTGTTAAGATATCACATCGTGGTGGGACGGTACAGTTTCTTATATGGTATTGACGCATTAGCTGTTATAGTTAACAGACGCCAGATTTCAAAATATCTCCTTATCAGTCATTAAGACAGCTTTTCAATTAATTTTAAATTTTATTACCAAACCAATTAGTTGGAATTACCTTAGCGTCTGAATCACTTCACAATATACCTAATCACAGGTACCGTGACAGGAAACAGGAATATCGCCTTTTTGCTTTTCGCGTAAATTCTTTACGGCACAACATTTACTTTATAAAATTATACTCAAAGTATTTTGTTCACATAAGTATTGGAATTACGAATAAAATGTTCAAACCTGTCTCTTGTGGTGAAAACATGATGGACGACATTCATTGCTAAGGCTTTACGTACTCCCAATACATCACGATGAATTGCCTCCAATGACAGCCAGTCTTTCGTTTTTTTTACCATCCTTTGAAATATCTGTTATTGATCTAAATTTGAGTAAAGAAATGCCATTTCGATAAAAATGGGTTTACGTCATATTAAAATAACTAGCTTTTGCCCGCGACCTTGTTTGCGTGAAATAGTGACTGCCTGCAAAAACTATCCTATGTCCTTTCTCGAGTTCCAAACTATGTCTATACCAAATTTCACACAAATCGGCTCAGTATTTTAGGCGTGAAGAAAAGACAGACAGACAGTGTCACTTTCGCATTTATAATATTAAGTTTGGACATTTCCCATTCCCATTAATGTAAAACCGAATTAAACTCATTTCATTTTAAACCTTTCTTTTGCTATGAAAGTGCTAAATCGCTATATGTTTAGTGGATAATGTAATGAAAAACGATAACTTGCCGAGTTGCATATGTATATACAAAACATAACATGCAATATATCCAATAATAATTCCAACGAATTTAATTAAAATTTTGTTATGGGAATATTGGCTTTAGCAAACATTTTAGGAATTGGCTTTAGTTTTACATATAGTAGTTCTTCCAAATATTCCTATGACAGGATGGATTCTGGAGATGAGCCCGATGTATTATGATAAAAGGCTCACATCCCAGAACTTAGGACAAATAATGTTACTAGTGATAACTGCGTATAACTCCCAAAGATTAAAATGGCGGATTAATGGATGTGTTATGGAAGTAAAGAATAACTTGTTTTCTTGATGCAAATTTCATATAAAATAGCTTTCAGTAAAACAAAGCATTCTCAACACCATTTTGAGAGAACCATGCTTCGGCGTGGATGGGCCGGCTTGACGCTCCAGTCAAGCCAGTTCGAAAAATAACTCCTATCTATTTATTTCAATAGAACGGCCGAAGCCAATCACACTATTTAATTATTATTTAAACTAATTAATAAATTCTTGTCATAAAACATTTCTTTTTATGTAATAGATCGACAAACGAGCAGACGGAAAACCTGATGAGTTACGAGAACATTGCCGGCTGTTTGTGGATTAGGGTTTTAGAGATTTAAGGATTGGGGGTAGAGAAGGATTGGGCCTTTAGTAGAGTAGAGAAGGATTTGGTTGTTTCACGCCAATTTTCTGAGAGGCCGTTGTGTCACTCCGGTCGAGCCGACCCATTCGTGCCGAAGCATAGCTCTCCCACACTTAACACATTGTAACATTATTATCATCTTCCAATCATGTGTTTGACTAATACAATACCTTCAATCATAAGTACCTAATTTTTCAATCGCTTATTTAATATTACAGTAAAACTAAAAAAGCCATTCCAAACACCAAGTGTACATAGAAGTTTTTAAGAAGAACAACTTCAAAAGCATCTGCGGGAACAACCCAATGAGCGACGATATAAAAACTAGACTCTCAAACTATTGCAAACAAAACTTTTTGTTCTGCAAGAAGTTTTGTATACTTCTTAATAACTATCTATACTCGGAATTTTAATTCCATTCCAGATTTGACAATTTCAGTGTTGCAACGTTATGACACGTAATAAATAGTGACGTTGCGAAATTATTCGATATGGAAATCGAATATTTCTGAATCGATACCTCTCGTTTATAAATTTACTCTCGTAAACTAAGTTTATCAGGAAATAAAATATTTCTGAACCGATAATTTAGTTTTGACAATTAATTAACGATCTGTGACTTTTCTTTTGTAATTGTGTGTGAAATTAATTAAAAATGTGATCATGAAGGAACGTGACAAATAAAACAGACATTTTATAAATTGTCGCCGTCATCGCTATCGCTATCGCCGTTAATCTATGTAACATTTATTATGAATTGTGTCTTTGATATTTATTGTCAATTATCATATCTAGCTTACTAATTTTTTCCTCTTCTTTGAAAACATGGGATACACATTTAGACCATTCGGTAGCCGTATTTTTTTGAATGCCTTCCTGAAACTGATTCACTGATTGTTTATCGATTTTTTGTGTTCATCACTACACTGTTATATGTGGTATCATTATTTCACAAAATGACAGTGGTCAATGTCAAATCAGGAATCGAATTAAAAGTCTGACTATAGACAGTTGGACATACTATAAGTTTCTCTAACAATAAATTGCTATTATATTCTTTTACGCGTAATATTAAATGTGACGTTGCCACAATGGGTCTGAGAGTTTTTATTGGGCACATTGTCCAATTACTTCTCCCGTCCTGGACTCTTACTGACTAAAACAATTCCGTCCTTTTTCATACCCAGAGCTGCACCGCGTTACTTCATTGCAATTATACAGGTGTGGTGGCGAGCTTGTTCAATTAAGAAAAGAAACCGCCAACCGGTGACTTCAGATCTACTGAACCCATCTGTGGTGGTCTGATGGCTATACAGCCTCATCGAATCGCATACTATACGCTTACGATGCGCTATTGGGCTCTGGGGTCTTCTGTTAGGGCGGCGAGTTAATACGATGATGGCACCTAACAGATACATACTAAACAATATTATATCCTAGTTAAATCCAAAATTGCTTCAATCATATCCAATTTAAGATAGAAATATCAAAAACACATAAAACCCAAAACAAATATCTGAAAATCTAACAGAAATATGAATTGCACATCCGCGTGGAACGTAAATATTGGTTGGAGGGTATCGTTGCCATGGTAACCGTAGTCGTCGGGATAACAAGTTGTTTAGTTGGAAGAATTCAATTTTATTTTTCGTTTTATTTTCTACTATGGGATCTAGACGGTCGTGTTTTCGTTCAGATCAAAGTATCACTGGTGAAGTGGTTTCCTTATATCAACTGGGAATTGTGTCTTTGTCGAAGATTTTATTTACAAAATTGTTTTTTTATCCTTGCCTTGAATGATAAGTTGATGTACAGTCAGCTCCAAAAATCGATGAACAGAATCAACTTAACAAAACACCTGTTCACAATAAAATGCCATAAGTTATAGTCGCAACTAGGAAACAAAATAGCCTGTACACCAAAAAGTTACAAAAGTCGTTAAACACGACTAATTCAAAAGTATCTGTGCACTATTGTATTCCTAAAGTCGCTGTACACCATCAATCCAAATGTCGCTGAACATCATTGTATCAAAAGTCACTAAACAGCAGTAAAGACAAAATTAGGTTAACAAAGTATATTTTTTATGTTGCCCTGTGTTAATATAATTTTGACGCTTATGTTGTTCAGCTAATTTTGGGACAGTGCTCGCTAGACATTAATAATGTATGTTAAAACGTTAGTATTCATTTCAATACTTACTTACAAGTCAATTATATTTTTAACCGACTTCAAAAAAGGAGGAGGTTCTCAATTCATCGGGATCTTTTTTTTATATTTTTTTATGGATGTTCACCGATTACTCGAAGACCACTGGACCGATATGGAATTTTTTTTTATTTGAGAGTTCAGGATCTGATCCTGGAACTCTGGAGAAATCGAGGGGAACTTTCAATAATTGTAGGGACGAGTAGTTCATTTGTATAATGTTTAAGTAGGTCTTTTACAACACTATAACTTGATGAAGGTCAAAGTCGACCTGATGTTGGAGCTGGAAGACAGTCAAGGGATCTCCTTGACTAATTGGAGTAGTTGCCTTGCCTTCAAAATTATTGAATAAACTTGCTGTGAACCATTGAACATTTACTACAAAGAAATTTTAGTCATTTTAAAATTGGTAGATTGAAATTGTATTTTTGACCCCAGACTGTAAATCCAAAAGAATGGAATTAACTGAAAAGTTTTCTACAAAACCAAATCTATACAATCACAAAAAACTTCGGAATATTACAATATATAGACGATGTTGCAGTTAAGTGATACTTTTCATAACATAATATTAATCTCACAAACGTAGTTTGTACTAAAGCTTAATGGACATAAGACAGACAGACTACAGACAATTTAATTCAAGACTAGACAATGGCAAGAAGATTGTTGATTAACCACAGAAGACACTCAAGTTCTCCAATAAAGCCAAGCAATTATTATTGATTGATCATTCGGTTGGTAAGTGCTACCCAATAAGGTTCACATTGAATATTCATAAGCCAGACGACTGCGTATAGAGAAAAAAATGTCCTTTCGTATTAATATTAAATTCGGCATCTGTGGTCTAGAAGATACTGAATTGAGTGACTGAAGTCGTTTCGTTGTAATTCCATTTGAATGATTTATTTGGTTTTGTTCTAATAAGTATGCAGATAGGATATAATAAATTTAAATGTGCTTAAATAATTCATAATTATTTTTGACCTAATTGACGATTGATTAAACTAAGGAAA